TTCATTTTTATGATGGAATAATATTCTGTTATTTATCCATAAAATAATTTCTTCATCTTCATCTATTCAACCATCAGTGGACACTTAGGTTGTTTTCACAGCTTGGCTATCATGAATAGTGCTGTAATGAACATAGTGTGCATAGATCTTTTCAAGTTAGTGTTTTTATTTTCTTCAGATAAATACCCAGAATTGGATTTGCTGGATCATATAGTTTAAATTTTTTGAGGAACCTCAAAAAATTTTTCCACAGTGGCTGCACCAATTTCCATTCCACCAATAGTACACAGGGTTCCCTTTTCTTCATATCCTTCCCAACACTTATTTCTTGTCTTTTTGATAGCAGCCATTCTAAGAGATATGAGGTGAAATCTCACTATGGTTTTGCTTTGCATTTACCTGATGATTAATAATGTTGAGCTTCTTTTCATGTACGTATTGGCTATCTGTATGTCTTTTTTGGATAGTAACCCCTTACCAGATATATGATTTGCAAATATTTTCTCTCATTCAGTAGATTGTCTTTTTATTTAGTTGATGTTTTCCTTGGCTGAGCAGAAGCTCTTTAGTTTAATGTAAACCCATTTATTTATTTTTGCTTTTGTTTTGGTGTCAGATTCAAAAAAATTATTGTTTTGGTAATACCTATGTCAAGGAGCTTACAGCCTATGTTTTTTTTTTCTAGTTTTATGGTTTCAAGTCTTATGTTCAACAGTCCTTAATCCATTTTGAGTTAATTTTTGTGTGTTGTGTAAGCCAGTGGTCTAATTTCATCCTTTGTCTGTGGCAGTCCAGTTTTCCCAACACCATTTATTGAATTTTATTTCTTTTTCTTGCCTAATTGCTCTGACAAGAGCTTCCAATACTATGTTGAATACAAGTGGAAAGAGTGGGCATCCTTGTCTTGTTCTCAATCTTACAAAAAAAGCTTTCAGCTTTTCACCGTTGAGAATGATTTTAGCTGTGGGCTTGTCATATTTGGCCTTTATTATATTGCAGTAACTTCTCCTATACCCACTTCACTGAGTTATCATAAATGGATGTTGAATTTCATTAAATGTTTTTTTCTACATCCATTGAAATGATTATGATTTTTACCCTGCATTTTATTAATATGGTGTATTACATTGACTGATTTGTGGATATGAACCAGGCTTACAGCCCTGAACAAAGCCCAGTTGGGGGGAACACTATCTTCTCAGCTGACTGAGGATGCTTTTTAACCAGACTTCAGTGGGGCATAAGCCTGGAACTATAAGACACCCTGGTGATATTTCTTGTGACTGATGATCAAGTTAAGTCCCTTTCTGTACTCACTATGTTTCCAACTCCAAAATCCAGTTTTTGGGCTTAAGTCCTAAATGTTCCTTTATTTCTGAAAGTCTGTACCACCTAAAAGATGATAGCTTACTTCTTTCATGACTTCAATGGTTTTACATTCTTTACTTCTCCTTAGATATCTAAATCTTTCCCATCTACCTATATGGATACTCATAGCCAGTATTTTGAATCCTGAGGAGTCTTCAGGGTATTGAAACCTTTCTCAATTTGGCAAATCCCAGAATGTTTTCTTTCTGGTAGGGCCACACTGCTATAGACATTAAAATTATATCCTACTGAATTCCACATATCATGGACTTGTCTGATCATTCTAAAGTTATTCTAGTGACTAAGCACTTTACAGGAAGGCCCACATTAAACAGGCCCCACCTAGACACAAACTTGTTTTTAGTACCTCACTCTTAAATACAGACAAACAACCAAATACCATCAACCATTTGAGGTAAGTCTCTAACAAAAAAGACAGGACAACAAACATTAAAAAGGACTTAAAAAAAATAAAGACAATACAGGAAGAGAAAAAAACAGTAATTAATATCTTCAAAAAATACAAGAAAACATCACATCCAAAGCACAAAGACAGGATGCTATTAATATTTTTTTTTTAAATTAAGACATCTAGGTAAGACGATGGAGTAGGAAAATCCTCACTCACCTTGGCCCATGGATACAACGAGGGAACACCAACATCAGTGTAAGTAACCCAGAAAATGACCCAAAGACTGACAGAACATACTCTCCACAGCTAAATGTAGAGAAGAGGTCACACTGAAGAGGGCAGGAAGGATGGAGACATGGTCAGGAGCTAAAAAAACCCTTGGGAGTATCCATGGAAGGGAGGGATGCAGCCAACTGGAGAGGGAAAAGAAACAGACCCTCATACCAAGCACCCCAGGCATGAAGAAACTGCATGGGGAAGACAACTCCCCATAACATTTGGCTTTGAAAATCAGAGGGGCCTAATTTCGCAAGTTCTTACAATCAGCTTAACACTTAGAACTATAAAAATCAACAGGCTGAGCTCTGGGAGACCATGGAGAGCTATAGGAAACTGAGTCCCCATCCTTAAAGAGACAGCATAACAAACAGCCCCAAGGAGATAGAGCAGAGAAAGAGCAGTTTGAAAAATGCCTGGGGTATTCCGGGAGGAGATATATTTATTAATCTCAGAGCATATCCTGGAGGGGCAGGGATCCTTAGGAGACTTCTCCAGTAACAAAAGAGCTGTTGGGTACCATTTCCCCCTGCCAACCCCCAGCCTAGACACATGGACACCTGCAGGAACCAACACAGTGCCAACACTCTCCACCTAACTGGCTAACAGTGCCCCTGCCCCCATATTCTCTGTGGACAGGCCCCCTCTCACCAGGCCTCAGCTCCAGGACCCCTCTCCCAACAAATCTTGCTAACACTGCACAGACACCCAGCCCTGGCATTCTCCTGCAGATCTGCCCCCTCCAATATGCCCTGGCAGGAACCCACCCAAAACAGTGCCACAAGCCCAGCATTGTGCAAGCAGCCCTGATAAGGGCCAGCACCACTCCAAAGTGACTCCTGCCCCAGGGACAGGGGCAGATAACCACATAGACAAATTTGACTACAGCCCCAGCAGTGAGCTGAAAGAAGACATCTGGTCTGATTACAGGCCCAGCCCACCAAAGAAAGTTTCTCAAGGGACAGCAAAGAGAAGGCACCCTGCAGTTCCTGGCTACCACATCTCTGGCAAACACATGATCTGATTCTTTTTTTTTTTTTTTTTTTTACATGCTCTGATTCAATTCAAGCCCAAGGCAGCCCTATATTGGCTCACTAACAACACAGGGACCAAATCCTGCCTACAACAGGCAAAGAGAGCCATCACTGAAGACGGAACTGAAGGCAAAAGCTCAGCCACAACAGTAGGGTGCACACAACACACATAGGAAATACCCCTGAAGCTCCAGGTTCTGGTGAACACGGGACATTGCACTGCAGGGTACTACAGGACCTCTTCTTCACAAGGCCACTACTTTCAAGTGCAGGAAACATAGCTGACTTTCCTAACAGAGAGAAACAGAGTTAGAAAAAAAAGAGGATACAGAGGAATATGTCCCAAATGAAAGAACAGAAAAAAAGCACGGCAAGAGAGCTAAACAAAATGGAGATAAGTAATATGTGTGATAGAGATTTTAAAGTAATGGTCATCAAGATATTCACTGGACTTAAGAAAAGAGTGGAGGACCTCAGTGAGACCCTCAACGAAGGGAAAACATAAAGAACAAATCAGAGATGAGGAACTCAATAATTGAAATTAAAAATACATGAGACGGGGTAGATAGTAGACTAGAGGAAGAAGAAGAACAGATCAGCAATCTGGAGGACAGAGTAATGCAAAGCAGTCAAGTTGAACAGGAGAGAGAAAAAATAATAAAAAATGAAATAGACTCAGGGAACTAAGTGACACCCCCAGGTATAATAACATTTGCATTATAGGGATCCCAGAAGGAGAAGAGAGAGAGAAAAGGGGGAAGAAAGTTTATTTGCAGAAATAATAGCTGAAAACTTCCTGAAACTGGAATCTGGGGGAAGGAAACAGAAATCCAGATCCAGGAGGTACAGAGAGCCCCCAACAAAATCAACCCAAGGAGGTCCACACCAAGACACACAGTGATTAAAGTAGCAAAAAAGTAGTGATAAAGAGAGAATTTTAAAAGCAAAAGAAGACGGTTACATACAAGGGAAACCCCACAAGTTTATCAGCTGATTTTTCGCCAGAAACTTCACAGGCCAAAAGGGAGTCACATGATATATTCAAAGAGCTGAAAGAAAAAAACACCCTGCATCCAAGGATGCTCTACCCAGCAAGGCTATCATTCAGAATAGAAGGAGAGATAAAGAGTCTCCCAGACAAACAAAAGTTAAATTCATGACCACTAAACCAGCCCTATAAGCAGTGTTAAGTGGGATTTTCTGAATAGAAAGGAAAGACCATAAGAAGGAGTAAAAAAAAAAGTAGGAAGCACAAAAGAAGTAAAATTAAGTATATCTATAAAATCAGTCAAGGGATTCACAAAATAAAAGGAGGTACAGTATGACACAATATACCTAAAACATGGAGGGGAGAGGAGTAAAAATTTAATGCTTTTAGCATGGGTTCAAACTTAAGTGACCATCAAATTAATATAGACTGCTATATACATAAGAAGTTATATATCAACCTAGTGGTAACCACTAAACGAAAACTGACACTATACAAACAAACAAAACAATATAAAGAGAAAGGAATCCAAGTATATCACTAAAGAAAGCCAGCAAGCCATGAGAGAAGAGAGCAAGAGAAGAAAAAAACAGAGAAGAACTACAAAACCAACCAAAAACCAAATAACAAATGACAATTAAGTACATACCTATTAATTATTACTTTGAATTTAAATGGACTAAAAGTTCCAATCAAAAGACATAGGGTGATGGAATGGATTTTAAAAAAAAGCAAGATCCATTCATATGCTGCTTACAAGAGTCTCATTTGAGACCTAAAGACACATGAGAACTGAAAATGAAGGGGCGCGCGTGCGGGAGGGGGCGGGTGGGGAAGGATCGCAGGCGAGATCGGGAGGCGAGGCTCGCGCGCCCGCCCCCGCCCTGGCCCCCAGCGCCCACCCGGTCGGCCCAGCTCAGCCATGATCAAGGCGATCCTCATCTTCAACAACCACGGGAAGCTGCGGCTCTCCAAGTTCTACCAGCCCTACAGTGAAGATACACAACAGCAAATCATCAGGGAGACATTCCATTTGGTATCTAAGAGAGATGAAAATGTTTGTAATTTCCTAGAAGGAGGATTGTTAATTGGACGATTTGACAACAAACTGATTTATAGACATTATGCAACATTATATTTTGTCTTCTGTGTGGACTCTTCAGAAAGTGAACTTGGCATTTTAGATCTAATTCAAGTATTTGTGGAAACATTAGACAGGTGTTTTGAAAATGTCTGTGAACTGGATTTAATTTTCCATGTAGACAAGGTTCACCATTTCTTGCAGAAATGGTGATGGGGGGAATGGTATTGGAGACCAACATGAATGAGATTGTTACTCAAATTGATGCACAAAATAAACTGGAGAAATCTGAGGCTGGCTTAGCGGGAGCTCCAGCCCGTGCTGTATCAGCTGTAAAGAATATGAATCTTCCTGAGATCCCAAGAAATATTAACATTGGTGACATCGGTATAAAAGTGCCAAACCTGCCCTCTTTTAAATAAAAAATTAAAAAGGCCACTCCCAGGTAAAATCCAGGGGGAAACGTCATCTAAGTTTACCATGCAGTTGTTTACCAAAAATAGAGGAGGAGAGTCTTAACTTTTGCTCTTGGATTTAAGTCAAGGTACTGTATAAAATTTGTGTAAAATCGGTATGGAAGTTCAATGTTGCTTTTCTTGCTCAGTGATTTTGAAGAAATTGGGTAGTTCCAGTATGATATTTCTCTTTCTTTTCTAAACTGCATTCCTGTGCCCACCTAAGGCATGCCTCTATGTATTGGCTGCTACAGTATTTCAAAAAGTGTTTGAGACATTTCTTTAAATTATGTACAATCCAAAATGTTGGTGTTTGGTATGGATCACAAGTGCAGCATTCCATAATTCTTTGTTATTTGTCACAATTGTTATTTAAAGAACCAAGTATGTATTGTATGAAAACATTATGACCTTTTCCTCTTAGTTTAAATAAACTCCAAGGTAACTGGACTTCTAAAAAAAAAAAAAAAAGAACTGAAAGTGAAGGGATGGAAGAGCATTTATTATGCAAATGGGAATGAAAAGAAAGCTGGAGTAGCAATACTTACATCAGGCAAAATACACTTTAATACAAAGACTGTAACAAGAGACAAAAAAGGACATTATATAATCACAAAGAAAACAATCCAACAAGAAGATATAACGATAGTAACTATTTAGGCACCCAACATAGGAGCACCCAAATACATAAAGCAGCTAAGAACAAAAAGGAAGTACTCAATAGTAATACAATAATAGAAGGGGAATTTAACACCCCCACTTACATCAGTGGATAGATCACCCAAACAGAAAATCAGCAAGAAAACAGTGTCTTTGAATGACACACTGGACCAGATGGACTTAACAGATATATTCAGAACATTCCATCCTAAAAGAGCAGAGTACATTCTTTGCAAGTACACATGGGACATTTTCCAGAATAGATCACATATTAGGCCACAAAACAAGTCTCAGCAAAATAAAAAAGACTGCAGTCATATCATGCATCTTTTCTGATCACAACACTATGAAACTAGAAATTAACTTCAAGAAAAAAAATCTGGAAAGATCACAAATACATGGAGATCAAATATCATGCTACTGAACAATGAATGGGTCAACCAAGAAATAAAAGAGGAAATAAAAAATACATGGAGACAAATTAAAATGAAAACACAATCATCTAAAATCTTTGGGATGCAGCAAAAGTGGTTCTAAGAGGGAAGTTTATAGCAATACAGGCCTACCTCAAGAAGCAAGAAAAATCCCAAATAAAAACCTAACCTTACACCTAAAGGAACCAGGAAAAGAACAAACAAAATCCCAAACCAGCAGAAGGAAGGAAATAATAAAGATTAGAGCAGAAATAAACAAAATAGAAACTAAAAAAACTACAGAACAGATCGATGAAACCAGGAGCTGGTTCTTTGAAAAGATCAACAAAACTGATAAACCTTTAACCAGACTCATCCAAAAAAAATGCATAAATTCCTAGAAACATATAAGCCCCCCAAAACTGAATTACCAGCAATGAAATTGAATCAATAATCAAAAAACACCCAACAAACAAAAGTCCAGGACCCGATGGCTTCACAGGTGAATTGCACAAAATATTTTAAAAAGCTAATCCCCAGTCTTCTCAAACTATTCCAAAAAATAGAAGGAAAGCATCCAAATTCATTCTATGAGGCCAGCACTGCCCTGATATGAAAAGCAGATAAATAGGCTACCAAAAGAGAGAACTACAGGCCAATACCTTTGATAAACATAGATGCAAAAATCCTCAACACTTTTATTCAACATATTACCAAAAGTCTTAGCTACAGCAATCACACAACAAAAAGAAATTAAAGGCCTCCAAATTGGTAAGGAAGAAGTAAAACGTCCACTCTTTGCAGATGACATGATACTATATATAGAAAACCTTAAAGATTCCACCAAAAAAACTGCTAGAACTGATCAATGAATTCAGTAAAGTTGCAGGATACAAAATCAAAGTATAGAAGCTGTTGCATTTCTATACACTAATAAGGAAGCAGCAAAAAGCAGAATTAAGAAAATAATCCCGTTTACAATTGCACCAAAAATAAGAAAAAGCTAGAAATAAATATAACCAAGGAGGCGAAAGTCCTGTACTCTGAAAACTATAAAATACTGATGAAAGAAATTTAAGATGACACAAAGAAATGGAAAGACATTCCGTGCTCATAGATTAGAAGAACAAGTATTGTTAAAATGGCTATATTTCCCAAAACAATCTACAGATTTAATGCAATCGCGATCAAAGTACCAACAGCATTTTTCATAGAACTGGAAAAAATATCCTAAAACTTGTATAAAACCACAAAATACTGTGAAGAGCCAAAGCAATCTCAAAAAAGAAAAAAACAAAGCTAGAGGTATCACAATTCCAGATTTCAAGTTATATTACAAATGTGTCATAATCAATACAGTAGGATACTGGCACAAAAATAGACACATAGATCAATGAAAAGAATAGAATAGAAAGCCCAGAAATAAACCCACAATGTTATGGTCAATTGATCTTTGACAAAGGGGGCAAGAATATGCAATGGGAAAAAGACAGTCTCTTCAAAATGGTGGTGGGTAAACTGGACGGCTTCCAGCAAAATGAAACTGGACCACTTTCTTACACCACACATGAAAATAAACTCAAAATGAATTAAGTACCTGAAACCATAAAAACCCAAGAAGAGAGCACAGGCAGTAATTTCTCTATCAACCCTAGCAAGCAACATTTTTCTAGATATGTCTCCTGAGGCAAGGGAAACAAAAGCAGTAATAAACTATTGGGACTACATCAAAATAAAAAGCTTCTGCATAGCAAAAGAAACAACTAAAAGACAACTTATTGACTGGGAGAAGATATTTGCAAATGACATATCTGATAAAGGGTTGGTACCTAAAATATGTAAAGAACTTATACAATTCAACACACACAAAAAATCTAATTAAAAAATGGGCAGAAGACATGCACAGACATTTCTCCAAAGAAGACATACAGCTGGCCAACAGACACAAGAAAAGATTCTCAATATCACTAATCATCAGGGAAATGCGAATCAAAGCCACAGTGAGATATCACCTCACATCTGTCAGAATGGCTAAAATCAGTAACACAAGAAACAAGTGTTGGCAAGGATGTGGAGAAAAAGGAACCCTTGTGCACTGTTGGTGCGAATGCAAGTTGGTGCGACAGCCACCACTGTGAAAACGGTATGCAGGTTCCTCAAAAAAATTAAAAATAGAAATACCATATGATCCAGTAATTCTGCTGCTGGGTATTTACCCAAGAATATGAAAACACTAATTCAAAAAGATATATGCAACCCTATATGTATTGCAGCATTACTATGGATAAAGAAGATGTGGGGGGGGTGTGTGTAATGGAATATTACTCATCCATAAAAAAGAATGAAATGTTGCCCCTTGCAAGAACATGGATGGAGCTAACTGAAATAAGTCAGTCAGAGAAAAATACCATATGATTCACTCATATGAGGAATTTAAGAAACAAAATATAGGAACAAAGGGGAAAAAAAGAGACAAACCAAAAAATAGATTCTTAACTACAGAGAACAAATTCATGGTTACCAGACGGGAGGTGGGGGAGGTGGGTGAAGTAGGTGAAGGGGATTAAGACTACACTTACCATGATGAGCAGTGAGTAATGCACAGAATTGTTGAATTACTATTTTGTACACCTGAAACTAATATAACACTGTACGTTAACTACACTGGAATTAATTTTTTTAAAAAAGAGAGAGAGAGAGAGAGAATGGTACACTACAAGGCAGAAGGAAGAAAAAGCCTGGCTGCCTTTCAATTCAATGACTGTGCACAATGTCTTGTCCCCCAGTAAAAACATGGCCCAGTGAATTCCACAGATCTAACTACTCATATTTCTTTTTCCTCCTTCCTGTGGGGGCCATATGTGTTTATTTCTCATATTCCTTGTGATAGATGTCTTCCATTTCTGGCCATCCAGTTCTAAACACACTATTTGGAGGGAATTTCAAGAAAGAAGCTCACGTATAGGCAAACAGCCCCTTACCCAGGAATAAAGTCTCTAGAATTTGGGCATGTAACCCTCCAATCAGATGCTTCTAAAACCCTGACCCCGTAGTAACACAGAGAAGCAAATGGCAGTTTTGAATCTTTCAGGGGTAGTAGAGGAACCAGTAATGGCAGCATTCAATGTCCAGGGGTAGCCAGGCCAGTGACAGCTGGATAACCACCATATTCTTCTTGTGTATCGATCTGGTCTCTCTTTTTGGCTGCCTAATTTCCCATGGCTTCCTGCCCATCTTCCAAACCTCATTCATCAGCTTTTCCATTACTTTTATGAGCTATCCACTGACCTTACAATACATTCCTTTCTCTCTAATTAACCTAAGTTGGTCTCCATTGTGTAGGAACCTGGAAATGATTAGTACATTCCCCTTTGTGTAGAAGTCGCCTTTTCTATGAAAATAAAAAGATGAGGGAGAGGGTTGCCTCCTAACCAATTGCCCCTAAGTCAGGTGGCCAGCTCTAATCCAGAAGAATCCATTATTGTGACTTTGGTGGTAATCATCTTTCCTTTTCTTTATAGTTTTACCACCTATGTATATATTCCCCCCCAAAATGTCGTTTCATTTAGCCTGATTTTGAACTTTAGATGAATCATACTGTATACATTCTTTTGTGCCTTACTTCTTTCACTCAATGTTTATGGGATTCATCCAAGTTGTCAAGTAGAGCTCCAATTTGTTCATTTGCATGGCTGTAAGGTAACCCACTGTAAGAACATCTCATGACTTATTTATTCCACTGTGTGTAAGATGTTGTGTTGTATCAGTGTGGGGCTATAATAAACAAAACTGCTTTGAATATTCTGGTATACGTATTCTAGGGGCATTCAAGGGCATCTACTTGGCAGTAGAATATCAATCATGGGTTATGTGTACCTTTGACTTTCCTAGATAATGCCAAACCATTTTCTGAAGTGAACACACCAACACCACCAGCAGTCTTCAGGAGTTTCTGCTGCACGATGTTCTCGCCAACAACTGGTGGTGTCAAACTGTTTCATTTTAGCCACCCTGGAGGATGGCTCATAGTATCTCACTACAGTTATAATTTTCATTTCCCTGATTAACAGTGAAGTTGAGGATATTTGCATATGTTTATTGGTCATATTTTTTCTTTGGTAAAGTCCCTATTCAAGTCTTTTGCCCATTTTTTTCAATGTGATTATCCCTTACTGATTTGAAGGAGTTTTCATATGTTGTGAAGGCTAGTCCTTTATTAATTATGTGTGTGGTAAATATAGTCTCCCACTCTGTATTTTGTGGGGTTTTCTGTTAATTTTATGCTACCTTTTGATGAACAGAAGTTCTTTATTTTAATCTTGTCAAAGGTATCAGTCTTTTCATTTATAGTTGGTACTTTCTATATCGTGTTTTAAAATTCTCCACCTTTGAAGTCATAAAGATATTCTCCTCTATTACTTTTTAAAAGCTTTAAATGTTGTCTTTCTCATTAAGCCTATAAATGATTTTTGTGTGTGCTGTGAGGAAGGGAATTTTTTTTCCCATATGGATATCCAACTGTCCCAGCAGCATTTATTGAAAAGCCCATCTTTTCTCTACAGCATCTCTATCATACACAAAATGTCTATATATCTTTGGGTCTATTCTTAGGCTCTCTATTCTGCTCCATTAGCCTATCTGCCATTCCTATACTAATACTATACTGTCTTATTTACTATAATATATAATAATTCTTGATCTATTATAGATCAAATTCTCCCAATATCTTGATAAATTTTGGATCTTTACACTTCAATGTAAAATTTTAATTTCTTTATCAAGTTCCACAAAAACTAAAATGAACAAACAACAACCACCTGATGAAATTCTGATTTGCGATCACATGCAATTTATAAATTAATTTAGGGAGAACTATCACCTTTACCATACGGAGTCTTTCAATTAATGTCTTGTAACAGCACTCCAACCAGTTTTAAGGGTTAACTTGCTTCCAGCTTATGCACTTCTTGCTTGCTGACCTAAGTCCCTTGGTCTGTAGCAGAACTAACTTACTTTCCTCGAGTTTTGCAGACCACTGGCCTTGAGGAGTGAAGGACCAAACTTTGCCAGATGATAAGACCTGATTACATTCTAAAGCAGCTACCACTGATGCCAGCAAGTCTGTTCAGGGTCATGTCGACTTAGAACTAACTGCCTGGGCACCTGCTTCTCCTGCAGATAGCCTCTCTCCCTTTTCTCATGCCTTCTCCTTTAAATCCCTCCAGCTTCGCCTAGACAGTGATGAATGGTCTTTGAGATGTTAGGCCACCATCTTCCCAGTTTGCCGGCTTCCTGAGTAAAGTAACCTTTCCTCTCCCACCACCACTTGTCTCAAGTATTGATTTTCAAGTGCCAAGCAGCTGAACCTGAGTTCAGAACCGGTTCTCTGTCCGGTAACAAACTCAGGATCCCTCCACTTATTTTAGGTCTTCCTTAATGTCACTCAATAATGTTTTATTCTCTACATGGAATTGGAATATTAGCACAGAGGCCATGTAATTATGTACACATGTTTAAAATTCTTATGTTTTCCTGATGAACAGAATCTTTCATCATGATTATCTCTAGTAACGCTTTTTGGTTGATATTGATAGAGATGTATTAGCTGTAGTTTCCAATTGCTGCTGTTAAAAATTTCCACAAGCTTAGTGGCTTAAAACAACACAAATATATTATTTTACAATTCTGTAGGTCAGAAGTCTGATAACAGGTCTCACTGGGCTAAAATCAGATGTTGGCAAGGCTGTATTCCTTGCTAGAGAGAAAATCCATTTCCTTACCGTTTTCCAGATTCTAGAAGCCCCTTGCCTCCTCTTCAAAGCCAGAAACATTGCATCTCTCTTTGCCTTTATTCTACAGTCACTTCCCCTTTTGACTGATTCTTTTCTGCCTCCCTCTTGTGATTACATTGAGCCCACTCAGATAATCCAAGCTAATTTCTATATTGCAAGCTCCTTGATTTAATCACACCTGCAGAATCCCTTTTGCCAAGGAAAATAACACCTTAATCTAAGCGTTTGTGTCCTCCCCAAAATTCACATGTTGAGACCCTGCTCCCTAACACCCTGGTACTTCGAGGTGGGGCCTTTGGGATGTGATTAGGAATGGGATTAGGACCCTTATAAAAGAGGCCCTAGAAATCTCCCTCGGTTAGTCTTCCAGTCCTAGCCCTGGTACTAGTGGTTGCCATCAGAGAAATCCTGGCTTTGGCTTTTGCTAACTGATCACTGTTCTAATTTCAATTTACTGTTCTTAACCATCACCAACGAAGCCCTCTCCCCACTTCCAGTTCCCACTTTGGAGATCCCTTACATTCCTGCAAATTTAATAATGGTTTAAAAATAACATCATTTTTCTCAAGTCTTTGGGGGGTTTTCTTGCTTGCCTTTTTTGGGGGGGCAACGGAATGTGGTAGACTGTATAATGGCCCCCCACAAAGATCCCTATTCTAATCCCCAGTATGTTACTTATATGGCAAAAGGGGCTGGGCAGGTGTGATGAAGTTAAGGCTCTTGCTATGGGGAAATTTATCCCAGAATATCTGGTTGAACCCAATGTAATCACAAAGGTTGTTTGTTATAAGAAAGCAGGTAGAAGTTCAGAGAGGGCAAATTGAAATGATGCAACTTGTGAGCCAAGGAATGCCAGCAACTTCTAGAAGCTGGAGGAAGTAAGGAATGGATTCCCCCTTGGAGCCTCCAGAAGGAACAGTTTTGCCTGCACCTGGTCTAAATCTAATTGATGACTCAATCTCTCCACTTCGATGTCTAATGTAAATTTCAAATTCAACACGTAAAAAACAAAATTCCTGATTTCTGCCTTCAAAATACTTTCTTCTATGAATCAGTTCTTCCAAGTTGCTCACAATGTCTCCTTTACCGCATACTCCACATATATCCACAAATCTTATCAGCTCTTTTAAAGTATGTCCAGAATTCAATTAGGTTTCCATCATCTCAGTCACAACCACTCTGGCCTAAACCAACACTATGGCCTGGATTACTGCAATAACTTCCTAACTGATAACACCTTTCACCAACTAATACAGATTTATTTTCCACCAGCTCCCTCTATATGGTCTCTGGGAGACAGAACACTCTGCCTCTCATTCAGTGCCAGGAACCCCAGTGCAAGCTCACAGACGCTCCACTTACTAGAATGGATAAATATTTTATACCACTACGTATACAGCAATTCGTTTGAGATGTGTGTGCGAAAATTAGCTGCAGGAGCCTTTTACAAATTAAAAAAAAAAAAAAATCCAGAACAAAGCAGTTAATGAGCAAGAGGGGTCAGCTGGCTGAGACAGTTTCCATAAGCCTTCCCTGTTTACCTCAGCAGACAGGTTTTCCGTTTAAGCCAACATCCTTTTGACCACTGAGGGTGGAAAGTTTCTCGCTCCACTCGGCACCTCACCCTTAGCTGACGGCCTAATCACCTCGTCCTCGTCCTGCCTTGGCAACAGGTGAGCCCACGTGGCTTCAGGCTGGAAGATGCGCTTGAACCTTCCAGACCCTCATAAATGACACTGTATCCTGGACCACACGTACGACTTTAGTCAGACAGAAAAAGGGGCAAACTTCTCGTTTACCTTCTCCACTGTACCAGTAACTTAAAATTTAAAAGGCAGGGAAGAAACCTTGGAAGACTGAACCTTCAACCTAGCTGCTGGTGCAGGAGCCGAGAGTAACCCCTGGAAAGCGTATTCCTCGCCGGACTCTGAGGTTGATGGGAAGCGATATCTGCGTCAATTACCCTGACCCAAAATGGCAGGTTATTCGATCACGCGCATAGCGATAAAGCTAGAGCCACTGGAAGAAGTAAGATGAGAAGGGAGAACGAAAGCAACATTTTCTTGCTCCATCATGGAGGCAGAGTTTATAAGGAGAAAAAAAAGTCAAGGACGATGAAGCACCCAGATGTTAAGAACCGCGGGACTACCGAGGGAGACCAAAGGAGACTCTGAACTAATCCAACATGGCGCCAGAGAGAATAACCCGGAGCGGAAAGAGGCGATGATTACCGTGATCCAAGATGGCGCTGGCGTTTGAAACAAGCCGAGAGGCGGGGAACGCCAGGAGTGTCTTTGCCCTCTTTCAAGATGGCGGCCGCCGTGGGCGCAGTCTCTGGCTCCGCCCCGCGGCCTCGGCCCCGCCTCTCCCTCGTCCCTCCCTCCGCCCCCTCGCAGTGCCTTGTCCGGGCCGCGGTGTTCGCGCAAGGAGAGCGTGCTCTGGGCACTTGACATGGCGGCAGCGGCGGCTACTGCGGCGACGAAGGGGAATGGGGGCGGGGGGGCCCGGGCCGGGGCCGGGGCCGGGGAAGCTGGCGGCGCGCGGAAAAAGAAGGGCCCAGGGCCTCTGGCCACGGCGTATCTGGTCATCTACAATGTGGTGATGACGGCGGGGTGAGGCCGGGACTCGGGGAGGCGGGGAGCAAGCCGGGCCAGGGAAGGGGCTTTGCGGCCGGCGGAGCGGCCGGGCCCGCGCGCAGGGCAGCCCGGGCGGTGGGTGTTAGGGTCCGGGCTCCGGGGCACTGAGGGCAGCCTAGTCGGCCCAGGTGCCTGCCCGGGACTCCCGCCTGGGCGAGGGGCCGAGCAAGTTCTCCGGCTGGGTGTGCCCGAGCTGGAGTTCCCGGGCTCCAGGGCGGCACGGGGAAAGCCGCCCTGGCGCTGGTCCCAAAGGCCTTGGGAGGACGGGTGGGCTGGTCAGAGGTCAGTCCGGGGGGCGGCGGGGCGGCGTGCCGGCTATCCTGCAGCGCCGAGAGCCCCGGCGGCAAGTCACGAATGCGAGCCATTTCCCCCAAGGGGAGTAGAGGGAGCTGTGGCTGCAGAGTGACCATTAAATATTTAGGCGGCTGTTTTCAAAATCCGGACTGAGCTTTAATCTGAAAGGTAATGGAAAAGCGTTCAAAGTTTTTGACCAGTGACATAAGCAGAGCTGTGCTTTAAATGAGTTGAGACTTTCTAGAATGGATTGGGGTAGGGAAGGTGGAAGGCAGAGTTATTGGGAATGAGGGGAATACACCCTCTAAACAGGTTTTACCTCCTCTTGTTTCTCCCTCATTTTAGTCCATCCCTTGTCACAGCGGGTTTTTAGTTCTAGTTCTGACACTATCTGTGTGACCTTGGATAAATCACTTTGCTTTTCTTGTCCTCCGTTTTTCATCTGTAAAACTAAAGAGTTTGGATTAGGTGATCTCCAGGGTTCCTCCAGTTCTTTGATCCCATAGTTTTGGTGCTGAGGATCGCAGGATCAGACTATTTGTTATGTTTTGTTTTGTTTTTTAAGATTTTATTTTTAGGTAATCTCTACACCCAATTTGGGGCTCCAACGTACAACCCAGAGACCAGTAGTCGCTTGCTCTTCCGACTGAGCCAGCCAGGCGCCTCTGTTACGTATTTTTGAATTGTATTCATCTGTAAAAGATTTTCCCTAACATTTTATTATGAAAATTTTCAAAGATGCAGAAGAGTTTAAAGAACTGTAGGGTGAACATCTAGTTTTATTTATTTTTAAAATAGGTACTACATTGGCAGGTGCAAAATTCAAAATATACCCAAGAGCATACAGTGAAACTCTTCCCTCTCACCCTTCCCTTCCACCCAGAACCCCTCCCCGTAGGTGCTAATTTTGTGATTCCCTCAGATGCTGATGAAAGCAAATATGTACACACACTCCCTTTCTCACACAAATGCTAATGTCACATTAGCATTTCAGCACCTTGCATTCTTCACACACATATATAGGGAGGATTGTAGACTTGATTGCTTCATTAGAAATGGCTGGTGTTGAAGCTTAGGTTCAGGGAGGTTGTGACTTTCTTGACTAGCTTGAGATCACTGAACTTGTTAGTAACAGATCTGGGTCTAGAGCCTGTTTCTCTTGATTCACAGGCCAGTGGAGAAATAATAAAGATACAGGTTTTCTTTATTGCATAAATGGTCAGAGAGTGATTTTTAAAAGAACATTTCAGGAGTTTGTACTTGTAGGCAAGGCCATTAACAAGAGCATTAGACTGGAGAGAGATTTTAGGGTACACTGGGGAAGAAAGAAAGAAGCCTTTATTCCTGGGTGATGGAGGATGGGGAGTGGTGTCTTAAGCCAAGAAAAGAAATTGGGATTTTGAGAAGAAAGTAGTCTTATTTTTTTGGTAGGTTGCTAATACTGGGACAGTTACACCATTAAGGAATTCATTTCTTTTACAAATTCTTGACATCTTTGTATGATAGTTTCTGGAAATAACATAGACCATATATCCCATTGCCTAGTTAGGATTGTACATTTATTTAGGTGAATCTATGACTGCTTTCAAGGAGACACCTTAATAATAAAGGTCCATTTGTTTCACTATGGAACTTAAAAAATTATAGGGCCTGAGAAATTCATTTTTGAGAAGGATAGAACAGAAATGTAACATTCTCATTGATATGCCTGTTTCCCTGTTTTGTGTTTTGTATTGATCTGGCCTTTTTTTACTGAATTGGTTGTGGGAAATTCGGCTAAAAAAAATCTTTTTTTCTTTAAAAAACCATCCTTTTCTTATTTCATTTGCAATTTTAAAAGAGTAGGGTATGGGTGTGTTTCTGTGAGATACTTGTGAAAACAGTTTAAAACATCTTTCCTCCGCCCTGTTATTATTACAGACCCTTTGACTGCACAGGCCATTTAAAATTTTCCTTTAACAGCTTTTCTCTTGTCTTAGATTTCTGGCACTTAATTTAGCTGCTTAAAGACCAATTTAGCTTATTCTCTTCATTTTGGCCTTGTTCTCAACAGGCAAGTTTGCCAAAAAGCTGAGCTCCAGATGGGTGAGGTGCCACTGTGTTTTTGCAGAGCAGAGCACTCTTGGTTGGGTGCTGTTGGTGGTGCAACATTTCTGTGCATTACAGCTTGGCATTTGAGGGCCATAGTTGATAAATCTGGGCTACTGATTCTTGAGGTCACCTTTAGCAGTACCTGTTGTCGCCGGATTTTCTGTTACCCCCAGTCCTACTTACCTTTTTTTTTTTTTCTTTTCCTGATTGCTCTTTTTCCTCTTTCTCATAGGTGGCTGGTTATAGCAGTTGGTCTGGTCAGAGCGTACCTGGCTAAGGGTAGCTATCATAGCCTTTATTATTCCATTGAAAAGCCTTTGAAATTCTTCCAAACTGGAGCCTTACTGGAGGTAGGTCCTGAGATTTGTTGTTCTTATTGGTTTCTATTGTTAAAAATTTGAAAACTTGCCTCATAGCATACTATTAACGTTGATGACTAGATTATCTTTTTGTCAGTCTAGATAAGGTAAAATCTCATTTAATTTATGTTACTTGGAATATGTTTTACATTCAGCTTCTATTGAAAATCAAATGAAACAAGCTTAAAATAGGATTTTTTTTTTAAATTCTAGGGAAATTGTAGGAAAGTATTAGCAAACTCAGATACTTTCAGCAGCCAGCTTATAATGGAAACAGTGAAGCTGGTGAGTGTAGGATGTCAGACATGGTAGATACAAGAAACAGTAGAGCCTATCTACATACATCAAAAAATTTTTCTTAAATAAATGTTCATTAGTTTCCCTGTATTAAGAGTAACATATCTAGTCCTGTCTCCTGAGGTCAGTATATGTTAGCATTTTTGAGTTGCAAGTGACAAGTATTTTGAACAAAAAAGGAATTTACTGGCTTTATAAGATAAGATAAAGATTGGTAAAGGGTTAACTTACCAAATCAAAGGAACCAGCTCAGGAATGAGACCCAAGGATTTGACATTGCCAGACTCTTTCCATCTCTCATCTCTGTTTATGTCTATTTCTCTTTGAATGTTGGTCTTAGGCTCTCCTACTGCAGACTGCCTTCTTCCATATGGTAGGAAAGGGGGGAGGAGTTATTTTTCTCGGCCTCTGTGTCACAGTTCTAGGGAAGGGTTCTGATTGGCCTTACTTAGACCAGTCACCCTTGCCTGTGATGTGAGATAGTTGATTAGCCAGGTCTAGGACATATGCCCCTCCTTCAGGCCAAGGGACTATAGGCTTTGTTAATGGAAAAGGAGGAATGGGGTAGCCTTGGGCACACAGAATCAATAGCTACTATAGTTCATAGTGGTAAAAAACCTTCAGGTTGCAGCAAAAATCTGGTGTTCACTTTCATTTCACTTAGCCTCTAGGGCGAGCCCATCATGACATTTGGAAGGGTATTACCTTTTACCTCTGGGAAATGACGTGTAACACCTTAACCTCTCACCTTCACAGTTGAAACAGAAAGTTGTAGTTTTCTTTTTTTTGTTTTTTCTCTCAGAAAGCAGAGGTTTCAAAACTGTCCATATTTACACATTTTAGGCAGATGGTATGGGGAAGTGAGCTTCCAGTTGCGAATCGAGGACCCATATTCTAACTATGCTGGTTTTATCAATTCTGTGAATTTGAGCAAGTCATTTATCTCTGTCCACCCTTTCTTCTCATTTGTGAAATAATTAGGTTAAAGTAGATTTCCAAAGCCCCTTCCTGCCTGATGGGAGGAATTTTGAGAGAACTTCAGCAAATCCTTGTGTGGGCCATTTGTTAAACTTAAGAGTTTTGATTTTTTTTTTTTTGGAAGGTGCCAATAGTAAGTAAATAGTACTTTGCCTCTCAGAGCTTTGGCCAGCACAATTCTCTCCAGCTGTAGAGAAGCAAGTTTGGGGCCAGGCCATGAGAAACTGCCCCAGGGCTTGACATGGTATGCAGTTGTACCCAATTGGAATTCTTCAGTGATTTAAAGGGGTTCTATCTCCCTAAGCCTTTGTAATATTAGAAGTATAATTTTTTAAATTTCAGTATGTCTTAGGGAAGGTAGTGACATTAATATGTTTTACAAAATCCACTCAGGAGCCAAATCTTAACATTTTGAAGGATTAGCCCGTTTATCCCTATAGAATTTTTAACAGAGATTTAAGAAAACATTTTGGATTTTTGGTTTTATTTCTGTTATCCCCACTCAGAACCAATTAGGTGACAAATCCTGGATTTGATTTTGGGAAAAGGACTTTGCAAAATGAAGTGAGGACTCCCAGGAATGGCAGGGAATTAGCTTTGCAGTTGTCATGGCAATATTGTCATGGCAATAGACCCCTCAGCCTGGGGCAAGAGAGCAGACTTATGAAAACTGCATCTCTTGAGTTGTCCGTTAAGGAAGATTTCATGCCTCCGCAACCTATATCATATAATAATTACATGTGCACAGTGTCGTTGAATTACAGATTAGTTATCCTGGGAATTATTCATGTTTGACAATATATCTTGTTTGCAAGAGGAGGAAAGGAGAGAATGATTCCGGGGAGGTTACTCATTTATGTCTCTGTACGTTCAGTGTCATTATACCTTTTTTTTTTTATTGAAGTATAATTAACATACAGTGTTAATAGTTTAAGGTGTGAAATAGAATAATTCAGCAGTTCTATCCATTACTCAGTGCTCATCAAGATAAGTGTATTCTTAATGTCCTTTATCTGTTTCACCGTCTCCTGCCACCACCAGTTTTTATTTTGTATTTAAGAGTCTTTTGGGTTTTTTTTTATTTCCCAACATTCTGTCTTTGATTTTTATTTTCTGTCTTTTTTGCATTTTTTTGCCTTGTTTTAAATTATAATTCTAATACAGTTAACATACAATGTTGTATTAGTTTCAGGTGTACAGTATAATAGTTTAACAATTCTGTATAGTACTTATTACTCATCATGATAAGTGTGCTCTTAATCCCCATCATCTGTTTCACCCATTCCCCCACCCACCTTCCTCTGATAAGCACCGGTTTGTTCTCTACAGATAAAAATATGTTTTTTTATTTGTCTTTTTTTTGTTTGGTTTCTTAAATCCCATGTATGAATGAAATCCTATGGTACTTATCTTTCTCTGATTTAGTTCACTTAGCATAATACTCTCTAGAATCATCCATGTTGTTGCAGATGGCAAGATCTCTTTTTTATGGCTGAGTAATATTCTGTTTGTGTGTGTGTGTGTGTGTGTGTGTGTGTGTGTGTCACATCATTGTATATGTATACCACTATAAATGAGGTTACTTACTTGTATTTCTGTATGCTGAATTTTTTTTTTAAGATTTTATTTATTTGAGAGAAAGCACGAGGACATGAGCTGAGGGAGAGGCAGAGGGACAGGGAGAGGGACAAGCAGACTCCCTGCTGAGCACAGAGCCTGATGAGGAGCTTGATTCCAGGACCCTAAGATCATGACCTGAGCCAAAGTCAGACACTTAATGGACTGAGCCACCCAGGTGCCCCTGAATGTTATTTGTTAGTAGGTTTTGTGGGAGTTTGCTTAAAAAACAAATAGGGGTTACTTGTTGTTTGCAAGAAACTTCAAATTTTCTTAGGAAAATGTAACATTATGCTTTTCAAAAGATTTAACATTTACCAGGCAAGCACAAATGGGATGGAGTAGTATAAGAAAATAGGTGATTTCACTTCTGAGGAAATTAATATTTTGCAAAATGGGTGCAAAGATATATTGAGTCAGTGATACAATAATATAGCTTTTTTATAACGTGGACACAAATCCTAATTTTTTTCTACATACTCACTGGAGAATGTCTTGAGTGTATTTTATAGATAATTTTGCAAGTTACTCCACAGGTGATCATTTGATTAAGTATGTATTTGAGTTGTTGTAATGTGTGCTATGGATGTTGAGCCCTTGCTAATAAAGAGCTTAAAATCTTATTGGGTAGATGATTATACTAGGGCTCTTGGTTGGAGATTACAGAAACCTCCTTAAGCAACTTGAACAGTAAGGGGACTTTGTTATGAGTGTACAGGATGTCCCTTGGAGTCCAAGGACAGGGATGCAGCCTGCAGGGAACTCCGGGATTCCTGCTCCACTTCTTATCTCTGCTGTTCTCAGTTTCTCTGTCTCTGATTCTTTCTTCTCTTCTTGCACACTGGTTGTCTGGGTTTCTTAGTCTACATGGCAAAAAATGGTAGTAACCAAAAGCTCCTGAGATTTCCTCCTGCAATCAAGAGATCAACTAGTTGTAAATAGACTCCTATTCCCAATTCCACATTCCCAGTGAAGGGCCTAATTTGTCCATCTTGAATCAGGTTCTCACTCTTGGACCAGTCACCTGGTAGGCAGGAGCAAGGTCACGTTAACCATATAGAAGTTGGAGGGAAGGGGTAATGTCTAGAAAAAGGGGTACTAGGTGGAAAGCCCAGTAAGTATTTATCGAAGTATTGAAACACAATACAACCAACATCATAATGTACAAAGTGATTTGTAAATTGACAGAAAATAAAATATACTGATAATCTCGTAAGCCAAGGGGGGAATGTATGAATAAATATGGTGTGTCTTGAGTTGAATCTTGAGTAATTTTGAAAGCTAATTCACAGAGGTAGCAAAAAATATATTTTTAAAATGTCATTCGTGGATGAACCAATTTCCATACCATAAAGTTAATGAATTACTGACACATGTTATGACACAAATGAATCTTGAAAACATTGTGCTATGTGAAAGAAGCCAGACACAAAGCACTACACATGTATGATTCTATTTATATGAAATGTCCAGAGAGGCAAATCCATAGAGACAGAAAGTAGATTAGTGGTTGCCAGCAGCTGTGGGGAGGAGAGAATGGGGAGTGACTGCTAATGGGTACAGGGTTTCTTCTTAAGATGATGACAGTATTCTGGAATTAGTGGTGATGATTGCAACCTTGCAAACAAACTAAAGACCACTGAATTGTACACTTTAAATGGGTGACTTCAGTGGTATCTAAATTACATCTCAGTTTTTAAAAAATTCTATAATGAGCTGTGGATAAGTTTTCTTCTTCATTTTTTTTTTTTTTGATCTGTGATATTCATTGATAAGGATAAGTTATCTTTCCGGCTTTGTTAGAGTTGAGTTAAAGATTAGAATTTGGTAGGGATTCCTAGATGGCTCAGTTGGTTAAGTGTCTGCCTTTGGCTCAGGTCATGATCCTGGGGTCCTGGGATCGAGCCCCGCATCAGGCTCCTTGCTTGGTGAGGAGCCTGCTTTTCCCTCTGCCTCTGCTGCTCCCCCTACATGTGCTCACTCTCTTTCACTCTCTCTCTGACAAATAAATAAAATCTTTAAAAGAAAAAAAAGATTAGAATTTAGTAGATTGATGCTATATTATGACAGTTTAAAATTATTTCTGAGAGGGGCGTCTG